TCTAATTTGTTAAATATGGAAAAAATCAGAACTATATCTGGGCATCCTGAAATCTTTAAACACAGTCACTGGTAATCACAGAGAAATAATGAAATACAAACTACAGAAACACAGATATTCTCTATCTCAACTTTTGCCTGGGGTAGATTACTGCTAATTTGATGATGTGACTCCATGTATAAGTGTCCATACCCAATACCAAGTATAATAAAAGTTGCTAGTCTTATCTAATTAACAACTGGTATATATTTTGTCCTCAGATTTGGCTAATATTTTCTGTTTTCTCTATTTCAATAGCATTCTAATGCAATTGTCCTTATCACCAACAGGACCAAATAAATTTTCAGACTACTCATCAGCTTTTCACAAATGACCTGAGCAGAGACTCACAGCATCATGTTTCTGCAGGAGCACATCCTAAATTGCTGACTTCCACCTCCAAGGGTTCTTGATACACTCCTTAAAGACAAGAAAGTCTGACACCTTTTAGGCTGCACTGGACCATGTGACAACGTGTTCTTCACTTATCAGTTTTACTTCATCTCCCCAATGACGTTATCTATAAATCAGAGACCTCCTTATGGAATTCCTCCAAAAAAAGGCTCTGAAAAGACAGGCACTTTTAGAATCTTCAGAGACTCCTACACAATATAAGCTTTCATGAACTCTTTATGATAAGCACATTATGGCCACTTGTGATGACTATCAATTACTGAGGGTTCCCAGAGCAGGAAGCTGCCCCTCACGGACCTTGCTATATTATTATTTTTTAAAACCATACACTTGCTTTTTATTGAATTGGTAAATTTAACAGAGTCCCTGAATTAGTAAACCATGCCTGAGAATCCAAAGAAGAAAAAAGTATAATGGAGAAGCCCATCCACCCATCATACAGTTTATTAAAACTTGGTTCCTAATGCATTTTTCTTGGGATTACTGGGAATTGAACTCAGGGGAACTCAACCACTGAGCCACCTTCCAGCCTTTTTAAAAATTTATTAATTGAGTTATGTTTTAGAGACAGGGTCTCACGGAGTTCTTTAATCTTTGTCATCCAGGTAAGCCACCATACAAATCAAAACCCTTGGGTGAAGGTTGTGGCTCAGTAGTTGACAACATGCCCAGCATGTGTGAGGCACTGGGTTTAATTTTTAGGACCACATATAAATAAATAAATAAATGTCCACCGACAAATAAAAAATAATTTTTTAAAAAAATGAAAAGATGGGCTAGGGATGTGGCTCAAATGGTAACATGCTCAACTGGCATGCATGGGGCACTGGGTTCGATACTCAGCACCACATAAAAATAAAATAAAGATGTTGTGTCCACCAAAAACTACAAAATAAATAATAAAAAATTCTCTCTCTCTTTAAAAAAAAATGAAAAAAAATCATAATCCTCCTACCTAAGAATCTTGAGCAACTGGGATTTCAGGTGTATGCCACAGCACCTGGGGATTCAAAAGAATTTTGAGAATTTCACAGTCTTTCATAAAATTTTAACAAGAGTAGAATTTAAGTCTGCTGCAGGTCTTTAAAACTTCTAGTACACTGTACCATTAAAAAAAAAAAAACCTCTCCATATTCATCTCAGTTTGTTTCACATAAGCATCACACTACAAAAGTTTGTGACAAAATGCATATATGAAAGGAAAATATGTGATTCAAGGTCCAAAAGGTTAATTGTTATCGTGTTTGGCACCCAAATCATGTCTTCAGTATGACAAAGAATATTTTAATTCTCATTTAATCATTATATATTCTCACTACTTGCTCACCTAAAAACCCAAATCCATCAGAAGGTGGCCATCCACCTGCCAGCCCACTATTGAACAAAAAGGATAGGCAGATCCTGTCAGGAGATTCTGTATCCTCCTAGGAGTCTGATTCCTGCACTGATGTACTCACCAAGATTGAGTTCCTACAAAGAATGTCGGCTCCCTAGGACAGTTGCATTCACTCCAGTTCCTCACACTTCCCAATAGCAAGTCTGCAACTACTGCCTTTGGCAAATGAATTTATTACAAAGAAGTTCAGACTGCATCAAGTACTCATACACCAGTATGCAATATTTCTACTAAATCAAAGATGTAAAACTAGGAAATTGCCACACTGTCTCATTAGGTGGAAAGAAAGTTTAGAGCAATCCTGGATGGCTTAAGCTGTATTTATTAAAAACAGAAGTGCCACAGCACACTCTTTTGGCCTTCCTTTCCAAATGAACAGAGACACAGCAAAAGGCTGGCAAGAGAGATAGCAGTGACAACCACCTCATCTTTGGCATGTTTGCTACCTTAAAAATTTGAACACAAGTATGTAAGGAACTCTTAGCAATGATCACACAAGATCTATGATTCCTGAAAAGGTTGTGGGTGAGGTTTTGCTCAAGATGCTTTGAATCCTTAGGACAGGTTATTGAATTCTTTAGCCTGAGCAGAAACAGCCCTCTCCACATCATGTAATGCACAATATCACCTGGTTGGAGGCTGTAGCTCCATTAGTGATGTAGGGCACATGAGTCTAGACACCCAAGGAATGTTCCAGGAGCAGATTATTAGATGCAGAGTTCTGAGGGGTATCACCTAAAATTTTTTAGATCACTGCTTGGAATTTTATTGATCTTTATTTATACCCAGTGTGACAGGGATAGAGGTTTATATTTTTTTGTAGGGGTATACATAAAGGTGTTTTTTGTTTTGTTCTGTTTAGTTAACAGAAAGTGCTTTGTGTACAAATTGTAAGATTGGTCAGAGGTCTTCTAAGCTTTAACACAAAAAAGGAAGTCTGTGTTATAACCCACATTGAGATATTTGCAAAATTTTTTTCCTGATATTCTGTTGAAAGAAGATTATGGTGAAGGTCTCTTGAGAAGCTTATTTAAGATTCTTTGGTGGAGAAGGTAGTGCCACTATATTAGGACATGAGACTGGGATCCTACTTACCAAGCCTTTGCTCATGTAGTGTGTATTAAGAAAACCATCACACTATTTTCCCAGGGCTCCTGACGAACTCTAACACAGAGAGAAAAAAAGCCTGGGTTTTCTGGAATATTCCAACTAAGTATTATTCATGGGGAGAAATGCTAAGTTGGATGTAGTTTTTGTAAAAAAAATTCACTGATAAAAAGACCTTTCAGAAGAAAGAGACCATCTGCAATTGTGGGGGAAACACCTGCAGAGCTGCATCTGCTGATGTGGTCATCAGTGGGGTCCACACACACAGCAGCAGCAAACTCACTACCTGAGCTATGGGAGTGCTCGCTGCTAGAATGTCTAGCATGCACAAGGCAGGATTAGGTCCCCAGAACTGGGAAAAGAAAAGAGAAAGAACTCAAATATAGGGCAAAATATATTTTGAGAAAGTGCCTCTCCAAATAATATACACAAATGACATTATTTTTCAATGCTCTTTAATGTGTCTACATACAATGCAACACATGAGACTTAGATCAAGCATAAGTGACAAGAGTGGGGTCCCAGAGTCATCAACAGATCAATAAGCAATCAAGGACAAGAAAGAGGCCAGCTGCAGGGTACACAAACACATCACTATGTTTCCAGCTCCCAGCCTCACCCCATTTCAAAAAATAACAATTAAAAAGACTGTGGAGAAACTCTGTGGTAGAGCACTCCTGGGCGAAATGTGAACAAAGAAAGAAGGAAAAAAGTTCAGAAGAGACATTTCACCAATCTGTACCAAAGGCTGGAGTGGAGAGGCTTAAACTAACATTCACAATATGTAATGAAACATTAGACAGAAAAGACTTAAAACACATGAAAATGGAATCTAACAATAAGAGAGATTTAACCCAGAAAAACATGTTGCTTTCAAATCTTCATGCTGATGCAATGTTCCTCTCCATCCCAGGGTGCATTTTTGTTACCTCTGAATAGGTAAAAAAAGGATTAAGGCACATACCTTTTCACACACCTACAGTGGTTTTCTCAAAAGAAATAAATAAAATGAAATAAAATAAAAATTTCCTCAAGTCTGAACAAGTTCAAATGGATCTGAAACAAGCAAAGGTCCTACCACATTTCTATATACAGGGCTTTTGTCTAGTGTGATTTCTTAAATGCTGTTCAAAGGGACCTGGAAAGTTGAAAGCCTTACTACAATTTTTAAAGAGAGAAAAAGGATCTTCCCAGATATGAAGTCTTTACACCTTTGAAGAAAACTCTGAAAGTTGAATACTGCCCCACATGGCTTATCCTCAGCATTTTCTACAGTATGAGTCCTTTCATACAACTGAACAAAACTAGAACAGCTGAAACCTTTATATTTCTTATTTGCATAGGATTTGTTCTTTTTATTCCAAAAGAATCTTCCCAGTCCTTAGTAAAATACTTAGAAAACTAGATTTCCCACATTTCTCACACTCATAGGGCTTCTCTCTGTGAGTGTTTTCATATATGAGAAGGAAAACAGGGATGAATGGGAAGCTGGCAGGATGTAGCAAATCCCCCATATTCAGAGGGTTTGTTTTTCAATGTGAGTGAAATGGCTTTGAAGGCAACAGGGAAAATTGAATGATTTGTGATATTTTTCACATTTAAAGAGTTATTGAGTCCAATGTGCTGGTGTATGCCTTTAATCCCTGAGATTTGAGAGGCTGATTCTGAAGGATCAATGTTGGAGGCTAGCCTCAGCACCTTAGGAAGACCCTAAGAAATGCAGCAAGTCCCTGTCTCAAAATAAAATGTAATAAAGAACTGGAATGTAGCTCAGTGGTAGAGCAACATCAGAAAATCCCCAGTCTCTCTCTCTCTCTCTCTCTCTCTCTCTCTCTCTCTCTCTCTCTCTCTCACACACACACACACACACACACACACACAAAAACACACATTTTCAGAAGTGTGAGCCATTTCTTGTGTTTGAGGATAACATGAAATATTGATTTATATGATTTCATATTCAAAGGATTTTTCTCCAGTAACTTCCTACATGTATATGAGTGAAACAGTAATAACAGAAGAGTTTACCAATTGTTTTCATGCATACGATTTCTCTGCAGTATGTGTACTTTCACGTGTGTGAAACAGACAGGATGTGGCAAAGTCTTTTCCACATTGTTGACATTCATAGGGTATGTATTCTTCCATGTTTGTGAAGCTGATGGGATGAAGCAAAGGCTTTGCCACACTGCTTACATTCATAGGGCTTCTCTCCAGTATGAGTTTTTTCATGTGAGTGTAGCTGACTAGACTGAGCAAACGCTTTGCCACACTGCTTACATTCATAGGGCTTCTCTCCAGTATGAGTTCTTCCGTGTATGTGAAGGTCACTGGATCTAGCAAAGGCTTTGCCACAATGTTTACACTCATAGGGCTTCTCTCCAGTATGTGTTCTTCCATGTATTTGAAGGTCACTGGATCTAGCAAAGCCTTTGCCACACTGTTTACATGCATAGGGCTTCTGTCCAGTATGAATTTGTTCATGGGAGTGAAGGTGAGAGGACTGAGTGAAAGCTTTGCCACACTGCTTACACTCATAGGGCTTCTCTCCAGTATGAGTACGTTCATGTCTGTGAAGGTCACCAGATTTAGCAAAGGCTTTGCCACACTGCTGACATTTATAGGGCTTCTCTCCAGTATGTACTCTTCCATGAATCTGAAGGTTACTAGACATAGCAAAGGCTTTGCCACACTGCTTACATTCATAGGGCTTCTCTCCAGTATGAGTTTGTTCATGTGAGTGAAGGTGAGATGACTGAGTGAAGGCTTTCCCACACTGCTTACATTCATAGGGCTTCTCTCCAGTATGAGTTCGTTCGTGTATCTTAAGGCAAGAGGCAGTAGTGAAGGCTTTTCCACATTGTTGACATTCATAGGGCTTTTCTCTGGTATGTATACTTCCGTGGTTATAAAGCTGATGGGAAGTAGCAAAGGCTTTCCCACATTGCTTACATTCATAGAGCTTCTCTCCAGTATGTGTTCTTCCATGTATTTGAAGATAACTGGATTTAGCAAAGGCTTTACCACACTGCTTACATTCATAGGGCTTCCCTCCAGTATGTGTTCTCTGATGTATTCTAAATAAACTGGGATAAGCACAGTCTTTCCCACATACCTTACATTTGAAACGTGCATTCCCCGTGTGTGTGATCTTGTGCCTTTGAAGACTTGTGTGTGAAATAAAGGTTCGACCACCTTGTTTACATTCACAGAGTTTCTCTCCAGAATAAGTTCTTTCATGCTTTCTAAATAAAGAGGAGAAATGAAAGGCTTTCCCACATACCTCACACTGAAAATGTTTACATTCACTGTGTGTTCTCCTGTGTCTTTGAACACCTAGGAGAAAAGAAGAGGCTTCACTATATTGTTGACATTCATCAGGTTGCCACCCAGTATGAGTATCTTCATGTCTTTGAATGTCACTGGAACAACTGATGACTTTCCCATGTACTATACTTTCATATGGTCCATCTCCAGTTTGTGTTAACATTTTTGTGTGAACACTTTTGGGAGAAACCAGAGATTTCCAAAATTTTTTAAATTCACATGGCTTCTCTTCACATTCCTCGTGCTTGTAGTATTTGTGTCCAGAGTGAGATGTGATGTGCCTGTTAAGGAATGAAGGACATATGAACTCTGTGGCACATATAATGAAGTCACATGGATTTACTCAATTAAAATTTTTCTTTGTTCAATTAAGAATTGGAATCGATTTGAAGGTTTCCCCACACTATTTTGTGCCTTTGAAGTTTATCATATAACTTCTTTGAAGAAGAAGTGACCAGCACATAAGCAATGCTTGATTCATTCACAATTTGCTATTTATTTATAGATCCTTACATTACTACCAACATCAGGTAAAGGCTAGGTTTTCTGACTTGTTCAACTTCCCTGAAAATAAAGAGATTGAAAGGAAACAATCCTATGCAATATAGCTTCTCTATGGCTATTATCCAAATAGTGATATTCACATATGCAATTTCATAGTATGGTTTGAATGTCAAATACTTTGAAAAGACTGAATATCTGTTACAGTTAAGTATATATTTCTGGTAAAAACATTATAAGAATAAATACTTCTCAAATTATGCATACTTCATTGGTTGATTTGCTTTAAATATTATATGACAGTTCTCAGATTCCCTCACGAATTCCTCTTGTGAGTACGTTACCTTATATTGCTCCCAGAGTTTTCAATCTGATCTTCAGTGATCTTGTCTTCCCACTTGTTTCCTTAAATGGAAGAACAGAACAATCTTTATGAATATTTAGGAGCTAGAAATGCTTTGCCAAATCGTACGTGCCATTTATGCTGCAATAATTCACCAACTGATTCCCTTTTAACCTTCTACATAAATGAACAAAATAACATGAGTTCTCTATTTGACTAATTTTAGAAACATCATTATTACCTATAGAAGCCAGGTTTCTGAGGACTTCCAACATCACATCTCTGTAAAGGTTCTTCTGGGAAGGATCCAGCAAAGCCCACTCCTCCTGGGTGAAGTTCACAGCCACATCCTCAAAGGTCACTGAGATCTAAAATATCCCACCAAATGTATAGTGGAGGCCAGGAGAGATTGACAGCATGAGAAATCTATACTCAACATGCATGATGTTCACATGATTCCCTGGCCTCTCGATTAATTCCACGATTTGGTCCATCAAATCTTTACTGCACTCAACTTCTTCCAACCATTCCAACACTAGAAATTCGCTACTCAAAAGGCAAACATCATAGTGATTTATACCCTTTCTTTTGTGAGTTCCCAGGAAGTAAGACAGGCTCCCAGATCACTCCTAACTTCTTTATTGGTTGCACCTCTATTACGTTTCCTAGAAATGTCCTGTGTGGTACAGAGCTAATATAAGGACTTCTGATAGTACTTATCTTAAGAAAAGAAAGGTGATGAGAAGGAAATTGCAGGAATCATGAAACTAGGCATTTGAGAGAGATTCTGCCAATTACATTGGCTCCCTGTACCTACAAAGTTAATATAGACAACATGGTAATACTGATGTCTTGTTTCCTCTGAAAGTCTATTGTTCCATACTTAAAGAAATGCCTAGAACCCGCCCTAACCCACACCCTCTGGGCATGGGGTCACTAAGGACATTCCTTCCTAGACAACATTTAGACAACCTTTCACACAGGTTGTCTCAATGCATTAGCTGAAGATAGAGCTCATCCTGTGTGATTACACTGAGAACAACTAGAAGTTTGTAGGTGCTTTACTCCAGAACAAATTTAGTCAACTAGCTTATTATTAAATGACCAAAACAAACATGAGTTCTCTATTTGATTAATTTAATTTATTTATTAATAAACACAATAATTTTATAATTTCCTGTGGTTACTGTCAAACCAGAATGGGGTAAGTGAAAGATGACACATGTCTTAGAAATAACTCAATGACCCAAAAATGTCACCTTGTCCAAACAACAGCCTCACAATAACTCTCAAAACAATCTTCTTAATAAACAGCAGGCACTACTTTTCTAAGTCTCATGGGAACAATGAATGTCTAAAGACTGTCAAACTCTTCTTAACAGCAGCCGATTCACTACCACAATGTACAGTCATGAGAGACATACAAATGTTCTTCTCAAGGACATTTTGATCAACATTGGGCCACATGTGCAATGGTTGTCTGTTGTGAAAGAGATTAATCGTGCCTGCAGCAATGGTGGTGCAAACAAACCTACAGAAGCTCTTCCAGAGTGTGCTAAAGCAACAAGTTTGTAGCCCAGATTCCTGAACTATCCCACACAGTCTGGGTGTGAAACAGGCCACCATTCACATCTATAAGCATGCTATGATGTCTGCACAGTGATGGAACAGGCAAAAAGAAAATGTCCCTGCCACTGACACAGAACCACACTCAAGGACTGAAAACATACAGAACCACCCAAAACAAGGAAGAATCCACAATTACACTCAGAGACATCAGCCCAACTGTGTCAGGACAATGATGCAGGCAGGAGGGCTTCATGGGCCTTTAACCGAAGGGGAACCACATTGAGGTCTCAGGGTCACAGCAACACTGCACAGGACATAAACCACACCCCTACAAGTGCACCACCAGTGAAATCCCATGTATGCTCAAAGAACATGAGAGCTAAAGCACGAATCAGATCAGAAGCAGCTGAAAATCCTCCAGGGAAGGGAACATGAAACACAAGACTCTAAACAGACACAGGACAAAGAGGTGACTTAAGAGAAAAGGTGACCATTTTGAAGGAAAAAAATGTAAAAGTCCATCATAGGAAATTCATAGAGAATACCAGAGGTGGTGCTGTATTGGGATCTAAGTCATCCAATGCACATTTCAGAAAAGGAGCTAAAAGCAATCATTGAAACTGCTGCTTCAAAAAAACAGAGAAAGAAGAGTAAGGTAAACCTAAATTAACCACAGGAAGGTAACAGAAAAGGTGTTGATGAAACCACAATCAGGACATTCGCAGACTGCAAAATCAAGTTTTTCATGAACATCACCATCTAACACATTTAAAAATGTCATCATCAATAATGCATTGGGACTTCAAGATTATCATAAACGTGCTTGATACAAATTAGAAACTTGCAGAAACTGGACCATTTCTTTGAGAGAGATTACACAAAACAGATGAGCCCATGGCGGCTCAAAAAAACAGGCTCAATAACTAATTACTATCCAAAAAGGCAAGGCAAGGCTCTGACATCTCAAACAGGCTTCCATGAGACACTTAAGAACTGCCACCAATTTTCTACATTTTTTTCTAGAACATAGAAGCTGAGTTAACACGTCCTAATTCCTTCTGAGGCATACGTTACTATATTATACAAATTAAGTAGATAAAGAAAAGTATTAAATAGAAAAGAAAACTATGAATGATGCTCATAATCATAAATGCAAAATTTAATCATAAATGCAAAAAACTGTACAATCAAGCCATCACACTCCAGGTGTCTATGCAAATTATGTGAAAATTATGGGCACAGGAACCCTCACTGCAGTGACTACAGCAGCCATATCCAGAACTCCCCAAAGCTAGATGCAAGGAAGATGCACCTTTCAATACTGAATGGACAAGGTGCAGTTTATCCACATCAAAGAACATCACCCAGAAAATGAGCTCTGCAGCCTGGAAAGATACAGCACCCTTAAAGGCAGACTGGTAAGTGAGAGAAGCCAGACTGAAATGGCCATGTGCAGTAAGATTCCAACTCAAGAACATTCCTTAAGAGACAACATTACAGATGCAGTAGCAGAACTGATGGGTGCCAGGGACTTAGGGAGCAGAGAGGGATGGAGGAATGAGGAGGAGTGATGAAGAGGGGGAACACAGGATTCCCAGAGCAGTGAAACTCTTCTGTATGACATTATCTTTTAAACTACGTGACAAACACAATCACATCACACAGAGGAGGATCCCTAAGGTAAAGGATGAACTTTGGCTTATCATAACGTGTTGCTTCATCCATTTTCTTTATCAAAGGTTCAACCCTGGTTTAGTAACTATCAAACACCCTACAACAATGCAATATGTTGAAAACAGTGGAGACTTATGGCTGGAGAGAAGGGGTATTCGAGACTATGAGTAATGGCACACTTAATTGTCACCTTGATTGGATTAAAGATACTGATGATTAATGAGCTTCTGGGTGTGTCCATGAGGGTGTGTCTACAAATGATTGGCATGTGGAACAGTGAACCAAACTAAACTGGAGAACCTCCTTAAGCTAGGCAGCACCATCCAATAGGAGGGTGTCTTGGGTGGAACAAAAGTTGGAAGAAGAAGGAGGCAGCAGCAGAGCAAGCTCCTTTATTCTCAATAGGTTCTTAAATGCTACTGCAATGGCCTGAGGATATCAGAGTCTGCCTTCTTCATTCTCCCAAAGTGGACTCTGCCAGTGATTCTCCAGGGAGTTTCCAGAATCTCTGGTCTGGAGTAGGGCAGCACCATTGATCCCTCTTGTTCTGAGGCCTCAGCCTCTTGAATTCTGTAGCTACTACTTCTAAAGCTCTCCAGCTGCAGACGGCCACTGTAGACATCCAGCTTCAGGTCAAGTAGGCCAATCTAATGAATCCCCTTTGATAATCATACTTCCTCTTAATACTGTTCCTCTAGAGAACACTGACTAATAAACTATGTAAGCCTAAAATTGCTCATAAAAACAAAGTTTATCTAATAAAGAAGTAAATAATCTACCAAGCCATGAAGTTTTACAAATATATACATGAAAAATAATAATATATGCTAAATACCATTTTCATAATAATGCAAAAATAAAGCAAAGAGGAAGAGTCATAGGTACAAATTTCAAAACTATGGAAGGAAACTGATTTTCAATACTATTTCCATCTGGAAATAAATTGGATGATAAGTCTTCAAGTCATTCCAGGGGCTGGGGTTGTGGCTCAGCGGTAGAGCACTCGACTTGCATGTGAAGACCCTGGGTTCAATCCTCAGAACCACATAAAAATGAATAACTAAAATAAAGATATTGTGTCCAACTGAAAATAAAAAATAAATATTTTTTTAAAAAGTCATTCCAACTGCTGGTGGGGTGGTGTGCACCTGTAATTTCAGCCACCAGGGAGGTCAAGGCAGGGAAATGGCAAGTTGGAGGCCACTCTCAGCAATGTAGCAAGATACTCAGAAATTTAGTGAGACTGGACTTCATCAAAAATTAAAAGGGGGTCTGGGATTGTAGTTGAGTGGCAGAGCAATTGCTAGCATGTTTGAGGTACTGGATATGATCCTCAGCACCACAGAAAAATAAACAAACAAAATAAATGTATTCTATCGATCTCCAACTATACAAAATATTAAAAAAGAAAAAAAAAGAAATAATAAATAAATAAGAAGGGCTAAGAATGTGCTCAGTGGTCAAGTGCCTGTAGGTTTACTCCCCAGTAAAACATTTGCCCACCTCCAGAATGCTGCTCACTAATAGAAATTCATTTCTGGAGGATAACTAAGCATGAGCAAGTCCATGGCATCAATCCCCAGCACTCAATAAGTAAGCAAATAAATAAACAAACAACAGTCTACAATACTAATTCTCTTGGACTGAAGAGTAGCTCGGTAGTAGAAAACTTGCCAAGCATGTATGTGGCCCTCCCTTGGATCAATCTCCAGTGGTCCACACACACGCACACACACAAAAAAATACATGTAATGAGAAATAAAAATTATTATAATACAAAAGGTACACAATTAGAGGCATAAAATGCAACAAAATAAATGGAAAGACAACACACTTTCTCACAAAGGGGATTGAATGTTCCCATGATGGGCATTCTCTGAAAAAGCACTGAGAATTTCAGAAAATTCTGTGAAATTTAGGGCAAAGTTTACTGTATTTTGGGGGTAAACTTAAGAAAAACTACATCTAAAAATGGAAATAGTAGGGTTGGGATTCTGGCTCAGCAGTAGAGTGCTTGCCTAGCACATGAGAGGCCCTAGGCTTGATCCTCAGCACCACATAAAAATAAATAAATAGGTATTGTGTTTAACTACAGCAACAACAAAAAATACTTTTCAAAATATTGGAAATAGTAGACTGTATCTAAGACCAGCCAAAATGTTGTACAGGACAGAGTAGAGAGAGCATTTTTGTTGCACCCAAATTTCATAAGCTAAAAGGCCAGCCCCAAAGGGGTGGCCCTAGCAGGAGGCACTTAGGAGGGAACAGGAATCAGGTGACATAGTAGGAGTGCTCTTTAAGGGATCAGCACCCTTATTTAGACAGACATATCGCTCCTTTCCAGAAAACAAGTGTCATTTACTATTTCACTGAAATTCAGTGATTAAATGATCATAATTGGGTATTTCAGATATTGCCAAAATTGTCCTTAAAATTTACAATGAAGACGGGATTGATGGTGCACACCTGTAACCCAGCGGTTCAGGAGTCTGAGGCCCCTGGCTATGCAGTAAGACTCTGTCTCAAAACAAAGAATCTAAAAGGGGCTGGTGGTTAAGCACCTCTGGGCTCTATTCCTGATACCAAAAAAAAACACACAGTTAACATGAACCAGCCAAGTCCAGACAACAGTGAAAAACTGTCATCCTTTGTCAAATTCATCACATTGTGAAGGACAGATACTAGTTTTCATGAAATCACATTCTTAAATTTATCCACCACTATTTTTATAGAATTCTACTCAAATTCTGCAGCAATAATGCAAGACAGAGTTTCTCTGTATCTTACGTGGCATTTTGGAATCTAGGGTTGGAGTTCAATTTGAAATCACTGAAAAGACAAGATTGAATCTTACAGAATTTCTATACACACTCAGGGGTAGAAAAAGGTAAATTAGTTAATTAGGACTTTTCTTTTTCTTTTCTTTCTTTTTTTTTGGGGGGGTTTGGTACCCCAAGATTAAACCCAGAGACATTTTACTACTAAGCCACATCCCCAGTCATCCAGTCATTTTTCTATTTTATTTTGAGATGCAGTCTCACCAGGTTGCATAAGGCCTGGATAAGTTGCTAAGGCTGTCCTCAAATTTGCAACACTCCTGTCTCAGCCCCTGGAGCAGGAATAATCACAGGTGAGCACCACTGTACCTGGCTGTAAGTTGGGATTTGTAACAATGGAAATGTAACTAGACTTTTTAAAATCCACTTCTTTCTTGCCTCTTTAATAATAGTCTATCCCATGTGGCTCTGAATAAATAAACCTGGGCCTCAGATAAGTGAGCACATCATTTCAAAGTGATGCACAGAAAGCTTTGGTGCTGAGGGAGCACACATATGTCAGGCACAAGGCGCAGGGAAGGTCCCTGACAGAAGGGACATACTCCCTCCTGGTCTTGCTCCCTGAAAGCATCCAGGATCACTGTCCCAGGGACCTGGACAATGACTCCAGTCTATGAGGCTTTTCAGTTTGCACAGCTCTGCACCGGGGTGGGTAGTCCTTATACTCTGGGAGAGGTTTTGCTCCTTCACACTGTGAGAGACTAAAACAGCCGGAGTTACTGCTGACCTGGCCCCTCAGCTCCAGCATCCACAGGCTGACTGTCCACTTGTCTCCAAGGAATGGGAACAGAGCTTGGGGAAAACAAGGTCCCACAGAAGTGGCTGTCTAGATGAGGCCTGTTCCAGAAGATTCCTCAGCTCAGAGCCTCCAGCAGCTTCCCTGAGAGGCTGCACCCTACATCTCAGGCTGTCCCCTAGGAGGAGCTGACCCAGGGCCTGAAGTTCTGTTCACCCTGCAGGGCACAGGGCAGCTGTGGGCACTTTGTGGCAGCTCCAGGAGAGGATAGTGGCTGAGGACTTGGCACCCTGTGAAATGTCCAAAGGGAAACTCTGCCCAAGAAATCTGATATGATGTCTACACCTAAGGAAGATAAAAGGAGAAGCACAAGATTTTTACAGCTATGGACTCAAGTTGTCTATACATTGCATCTACATCAAAGAACCTTCAGAGTACTTGACTTTAGCTAACTAGATCACCATGAGGGTAGAAAGGCAGGGTTCTGTATAGAGAACAAAAATTATCTTGTGCTATCTTAAGCCCTTCAATAGCCAATCATCTTAATTTCTGTAACAGACCACAATATCAAAATTTCACAGAATATATCACTAACCTTACCAGATGTCTCCAAAATCTACCAAAGCTCAGAATGCAATAACAGAAATACAGAAGAAATTTTCTTTATTTTTGTCTGTACCCCAACAATCTGATGTTCCTACAAATGCAATTGGTTAATGCAGTGATACACAG